CTGTCTGCTGATACTACCATCAAGCGTTGTAAAGCACAGTTTGCACGTTATGGCCAGCCGGATAGAGTAATCTCGGATAATGGACCTCAATTTGCATGTGAGCAATTCAGACGGTTCTCTAAAGATTGGGGATTCGAGCATGTTACCTCATCCCCGAGGCACCCGCAAGCAAATGGCAAAGTGGAATCGGCTGTCAAGATAGTGAAGAATCTTTGTAAGAAGGCCAAGTTTGATGGTACTGATCCGTGGAAGGCCATTCTACATTGGAGGAACACCCCATCTGAAGGCATGGACAGTAGTCCTGCACAGCGCTTGATGTCTAGGAGACTGAAGACTTCATTGCCTGTGGCAAACATATTACTTGATCCTTGTGTGGTTACAGGTGTCCCGGCGAAACTGCAGCAGAGGAAACAGATTGCCAAGCTGTCATACGATGTGTCTGCTAAAGACTTACCTGAACTAAGGATTGGAGAGCCAATCCGTATGAAGCCGCTTCCAGGTGACAGGACCGGTCGCTGGAGAATAGGTTCCTGTGTGCAGAGAGTTGCTCCTCGATCATATCTTGTGGATGTAGAAGGCAGTCTTTACCGTCGCAATCAAGTGGACCTGCGAAAGGCAGAACGATTCACCACACAAGCCTATGAGCATCCTGCATGTGATCCTCCTGAGGTGCTCAATGCTCCGAGTCCTACTGGACCATATACTCAAAGCAGAGAGAACTCTGCTGTCATATCGGGATACAATGAGGATGACAAAATGCAGCCACATATCCCGTCAAGTTCTTCTTTGCCAAAACACACCAGCCAGGAAAGAGGGTAGCTCCTTATCAACACCTTCTGGAGCTGAACGGATTTCCCCAGGCAAAATCCCTGTGGTGATGGAGGCCAATGGAGAGAGGGCTTCCTTTGCGGCTAAGTTCCGGACTCCCTGAGAGTGGGACAGCGGGAGTCAGGCCCAAAGTTGCACAGGTCACCTGTAGGAGTGCTGGTTGGTGGTCCACTCAGAAGCACAGCTGGTGCACAGAGATAGGTCTGCAGACAGGAGGCGCCTGTGCATGGTATGCAAGCCTTCCGGGATTTAGATGTTTACTGGGTAGTCAGTTCAAGCCAAGGTCAGGTACCAGGTGGGAATAAGAGCAGACATAGTCAGATGGGATAGCCGAGGTCATACACAGAGGAGCGAGAGAGAGTATCCATAAGCCAGGCTGAGGTCAGATCAGGGGTAAGGCAGAGTAGACAGGTCCAGGAGCAAGCCGAGTCGGTAACAGGAAATCACGGGCCAAGTCACAGGAACAGGGAGCTAGAGATCATCCAGCAACTTGAGGAAGTGATGAGCCTCCTTATAAAGGCCGTCTAGCACCAGACCGAGGCTGATGTGTCCTTCTGCGGCCATGCAGAGTACTAGCAGAAATGCCAGATCTTCCAGAACCTCTGCCGTAGACAGGACCGTGACAAATGAACAATTTCTATCTCTCAGTAACAACTGGAATCGATCTGTAAGGGGGGCAATCTTCCCACTGATGACAAAATGTCCTTCTCCTACTGAACACTGATATAAGGGGATTCGTCTCCCATTGGTCACCATACACTGACCACTGGATCTCCATCATTGAAAACATGGTGAGACAACCAATATACCGGGTGGTGGAGGAGATGTTGATGTCGGTGTGGAAATGGACAGAACACGGGAGGATGACACTGAAAGAACAATACGGATTCACTCTGTGAAATGTCAAGGAGAGAACGGGACAGGAGAGACTTTTCTCTCTAATGAATGTTGTGTTCTGAAAGTGTTAATAAACCCACAACAGTGCAATCAGTCTGTATATGCAGTAAAGCATGCTTGTTATACTCGCTGTGGGACCTAAGAGGTTAATCCTCCACATTGTATAAAAAGGCAGTTTAATCCTCTCTTCTCTGATCCTCCCCTTCTTTTTCTTTCCCAATCCATCTGCTGACAGTACAGAGCTTGTAGAAGGAGTTTTCATTCTGCTCTGACTGTCCTGTGAGGCAGCATAACCCCCAACCCTCTTTCTGGACAGTGCTCATTGGCCCTGTGCTGATTACATGCACCTTCCCAAGAAAAAGAAGAAATATCCTAGCAATACACACTAAACTGAGCATGTGCTATCAGCAGATGGACTGGGGACTGTGGAAGAAGGGGAGGATCAGAGAAGACAGGATCAAACAGCCTTTTTAGAAAATGTGGATTAACCCCTTAGGTTCCACAGTGAGTATAACAAGCACGCTTTACTGCATATACAGAATGATTGTACTGTTAACACACAGTAACAATACATTACATCAATAAAGTAACCTTTTTTTTTAAATTTAATTACTTTTTTTGTAACTTAGCTTTTCAGAACAATAACCTTTCCAGCCTTTGATTTTAGGGTCTCTCAAAATGTGAGAGTTTCCTGACTACCTAACATTTTTAGAGACCCTTCATGTGCAGAATTGTGTCTACCCCTGTACTGTGCCATGCTATACCCTAGACCAGGGGTGGGCAACTCTAGCCCTCCAGTTGTTGGTGAACTACAAGTCCCATCATGCCTCTGCCTTTGGGAGTCATGCTTGTAACTGTCAGTTTTGCAATGCCTCATGGGACTTGTAGTTCTACACCTCCGCCACAGTTGCCCACCCCTGCACGAGGCGAATAGTTCGCTATGGAGCTGTAGCGACAGAACCTGTCTTTAATGCAGAGGACAGGAGGGACAAAAAAAAAAGGTGTCACGCCTTATTCCACGTTGACTGCAGACACATCTTTTTGGGGTGACCTTTGTGTTGGGGTAGTTTGGAGGATATCTGGCAAATGCCTCTCATGCACCTGGATTTGGGTTTTTGGCTACAGTGCTTTCTGGATACAAAAGGGCTGAGATGATCACTTCCTGGAATGTTAGGAAGGAACCAGTTCTCCCAGGAGCTTTGTAAATAACAAAAGCATTGTATAGAGCCAATTGAAATAAATATAGACACTTTTTTGTTCCAGTGTCTAGCTCTGCCAGAGGCCAAATACGGCTTCATCATTTGGTTATTGAAGTCTACACCTCCCACATTTAGATTATAGTCAGAGAGGCTTTTCATCGACACCAGACGCCCTGTGAATTTGGATGCTGTGTCTACACAGGATACCTACCCGGGTTAAAAGGGAAAGGCGGTATTTGACCTATGCAATTTGGGTGATAAAAGGAGGTGAGAGTATATACAGTGGGAATTGAAAGTTTGGGCACCCCAGCTAAAAATTTGTATTAATGTGCATAAAGAAGCCAAGAAAGAAAGATGGAAAAATCTCCAAAAGGCATCAAATTACAGATTAGACATTCTTATAATATGTCAACAAAAGTTAGATTTTTATTTCCATCATTTACACTTTCAAAATAACAGAAAACAAAAAAATGGCGTCTGCAAAAGTTTGGGCACCCTGCAGAGTTAATATCTTGTACTGCCCCCTTTGCCAAGCTGAGACCTGCCAGTGTCATGGATTGTTCTCAATCATCATCTGGGGAAGACCAGGTGATGTCAATCTCAAAGGTTTTAAATGCCCAGACTCATCTGACCTTGCCCCAACAATCAGCACCATGGGTTCTTCTAAGCAGTTGTCTAGAAAACTGAAAATAGTTGACGCTCACAAAGCTGGAGAAGGCTATAAGAAGATAGCAAAGCGTTTTCAGATGTCAATATCCTCTGTTCGGAATGTAATTAAGAAATGGCAGTCATCAGGAACAGTGGAAGTTAAAGCAAGATCTGGAAGACCAAGAAAAATATCAGACAGAACAGCTCGCAGGATTGTGAGGAAAACAATTCAAAACCCACGTTTGACTGCACGATCCCTCCAGAAAGATCTGGCAGACACTGGAGTTGTGGTACACTATTCCACTATAAAGAGATACTTGTACAAATATGGTCTTCATAGAAGAGTCATCAGAAGAAAACCTCTTCTACGTCCTCACCACAAAAATCATCGTTTGAACTTTGCAAATGAACATATAGACAAGCCTGATGCATTTTGGAAACAAGTTCTGTGGACCGATGAGGTTAAAATTTAACTTTTTGGCCGGAATGAGCAAAGGTACGTTTGGAGAAGAAGGGGCACAGAATTTAATGAAAAGAACCTCTGTCCAACTGTTAAGCATGGGGTTGGATCAATCATGCTTTGGGGTTGTGTTGCAGCCAGTGGCACAGGGAACATCTCACGAGTAGAAGGAAAAATGGATTCAATAAAATTTCAGCAAATTTTGGATGGTAACTTGATACCATCTGTGAAAAAGCTGAAGTTAAAGAGAGGATGGCTTCTACAAATGGATAATGATCCTAAACACACCTCGAAATCCACGGGGGATTACATCAAGAGGCGTAAACTGAAGGTTTTGCCATGGCCTTCACAATCTCCTGACCTCAACATAATTGAAAATCTATGGATAGACCTTAAAAGAGCAGTGCGTGACAGACAGCCCAGAAATCTCAAAGAACTGGAAGACTTTTGTAAGGAAGAATGGGCAAAGATACCTCAAACAAGAATTGAAAGACTCTTGGCTGGCTACAAAAAGCGTTTTACAAGCTGTGATACTTGCCAAAGGGGGCAGTACAAGATATTAACTCTGCAGGGTGCCCAAACTTTTGCAGACACCATTTTTTTGTTTTCTGTTATTTTGAAAGTGTAAATGATGGAAATAAAATCTAACTTTTGTTGACATATTATATGAATGTCTAATCTGTAATTTGATGCCTTTTGGAGATTTTTCCATCTTTCCTTGGCTTCTTTATGCACATTAATACAAATTTTTAGCTGGGGTGCCCAAACTTTCGATCCCCACTGTATACCTGTATATACGTGATTATGTGCAGCCCTGCATTTTGTAGACCTCTAAGTTTTTGCGAAAGCTTTCATCACAAAAAACCTATTTAACAAATGAAAGGTAATGACATTTTTATTTTTCTCCTGCCATCAATGTCCAACACGGTCCGACACTTCATCCATGTCTATGGTGAGTTACAATTCTCTCACTCAGAACAGGCAGCTGGTTTCTCCCCCGTGTGTAATTTCTGATGTCTGGAAAGATGGGACTTCTGAGAAAAACATTTCCCGCACTCAGGACAGGAATACGGCTTCTCCCCCGTGTGGGACCTCTGATGTGCGACAAGTTCTGATTTGTTTACAAAGTATTTCCCGCACTCAGTACAGGAGCATGGCTTCTTGCCCATGTGAGACATTTGATGTATGATGAAATTGGACTTCTGTGAAAAAGATTTCCCGCACTCAGAACAAAAATATGTTTTTCCCTTGCATGAGACTTCTGATGTCTGACAAGTTTTGAATTTTTTACAAAACATTTCCCACACTCAGGACAGGAATATGGCTTCTCTCCTGTGTGCAATCTCTGATGTGCGTAAAGAGAGGACTTCTCTGAAAAACATTTCTCGCACTCAGTACAGGAAAATGGCTTCTCCCCCGTGTGAGACCTTTGATGTGTGACAAGGTTTGATTTCTGTACAAAACATTTCCCGCACTCAGGACAATAATACGGCGTCTCCCCCGTGTGAGATCTCTGATGTAGTGAAAGGTGACATTTCTTTGTGAAACATTTCCCACACTCAGGACAGGAATGTGGCTTCTCCCCCGTGTGAGATCGCTGATGTATGACAAGTTCTGATTTTTGTATGAAACATTTCTCGCACTCAGGGCAGGAATACGGCTTCTCCCCCGTGTGAGATCTCTGATGTCTGTAAAGATGGGACTTCTCTGAAAAACATTTCCCACACTCAGGACAGGGATATGGTTTTTCCCCCGTGTGAGATCTCTGATGTATGGAAAGATTAAACTTCTTTGAAAAACATTTCCCGCACTCAGGACAGGAATGTGGCTTTTCCCCCGTGTGAGATCTTATATGCTCATTAAGACCAGATTTAAATCGGAATCCCTTCCCGCACTCAGGACAGGAAAAACTCTTGTGCTTTGGAAAGACGGCCCGGTCCCGCACAGTCTGAGGGTCCTCAGGATACGAGGAATCCGATGGTCCATCTATACTGGGTGGTGCCGGATGGACATCGGAGGGAGCCGGGTTTTCTCCTGGACTATACTGTGTGATGTCCTCATCTTCTACTTTCCAGTCTGGAGACAAAGTGAGACAATCCTCGGAGGTTTTTCTCATCTCCCGGCCATGGACTAAAATACAAAGACAAAGAGGATTACTAGACAGGAGCTGATTGGTTCCCCCAAACCAGGACTCCGCCCACATCAGGCAGCTTGGTCTCTGAGGAACTTACAATTCCACCCTCAAGGGAACTAGGAAATGGCTCCTCTGATCTCCTACCAGGTCATTTCTTTATTCATGGACCTTAGTCAGAGAGTGAGGAAACAACCAGAACTGTCTTTTATAGGAGGGACAGTGATGAGGGGATTATAGGACGAGGGTCCCCACCCCCTCTATCACTCATCGCCATCTTCCCAACACAAGAAGTACTGCACTTCCACAGTATCCTTCCCCTGTCCTGCCCTGACCGGGGGCCACTACTTTTTATAACAACTCACTGTCAGCCGCTCTAGACTCGCTAGCGCCTCTAACCACTCGAAGCATTAGACCCCGACCGCTTCAGCCTTGGCAGACTGACCATACCAAAAATCTCAAACAACGCAGTCGTGCGCTGGAGCAACTATGGTGCAAAACCAGATCCCAACTAGCGTTCACCCGATATAAAAATCTGCCTTCCACACCTACACCTCCTCCCTCCACGCTGCCAAGCAACCCTACTTTGTAACCCTCATCAATACCCTCTCCTTCACTCCTCGCCGGCTCTTCTCTACTTTTAACTCCCTGCTCTCTCCGCCCCCACCTCCACAGAGTACCTCACTCACCGCCCACGAGATTGCCAATCACTTCAAACACAAGATCAATGCAATTCATAGGGACATCTCCACTGCTCAGACGTCCATCCCTCACACGAAAACCCCCTCAACACTCCACTCCTTCAACCCTGCTACCACTGAAGAGGTCACTAAGGTCTTCTCAGAAGCCCGCCTCACCTCCTGCCCCCTTGACCCTGTCCCACACAACTCCTACGGACACCCTCTTCTTCCATCCTACGCTTCCTCACTCACATCTTTAATCTTTCCCTCTCTACTGGCACATTCCCCTCCCCCCCCCCCTGAAGCACACGCACATCACTCCCATACTTAAAAAACCCTCCCTGGACCCCACCGACCCAAACAACCTTAGACCCATCTCCTGCTGCCATTTACATCCAAACTCTTTGAGCGCTTAGTCTATAAACCGCCTGAGTTCCCACCTCACCGACAACAACCTCCTCGATCCCCTACAGTCCGGCTTCCACCCCCTACACTCCACCGAAACTGCCTTACTCAAACTCTCCAACAACCTGCTAACTGCCAAAGCCAATGGCCATTATTCAGTGCTCCTACTGCTTGACCTCTCCGTGGCTTTTGACATGGTTGACCACCCCCTCCTCCTCAACAAACTACACTCCCTCAGCATCAGAGACTCTGCTCTCTCCCGGCTCTCTTCCTATCTATCACAGCGCTCCTTCAGCGTCACCTAGAATGCTACAACCTCCCCCTCACTCCCCCTCTCTGTTGGGGTCCCTCAAGGCTCTGTCCTCGGGCCCCTTCTCTTCTCCATCTACACCTCCTCCCTTGGCCAACTGATACACTCTCATGGCTTCAACTACCAGCTCTATGCCGACGACACGCAAATCTATCTCTCGACCCCTCACCTCACCCCCTCAGTCTCTGCCCGAATCACTTGCCTACTGAACGACATATCAGACTGGATGTCACTCACTTCCTCAAACTAAACCATTCCAAAACAGAGCTCCTAGTCTTCCCCCCAGCCCGTGCCCCCCCTCCTGATTTCTCCATCACGTCCAGCAATGCCACCATCAGTCCTACCCCGCAGTACTTGGTGTCATCCTAGAGTCCAACCTATCCTTCCAGCCCCAAGTCCAATCACTGACAAACTCATGTAGACTCCACCTCCGCAACATCTCCAAAATACGCCCGTTCCTAACCCCAGACACTACTAAGCAACTCATCCACTCCCTTATCATATCACGACTCGACTACTGTAACTCCCTCCTCATCGGCCTACCTCACCACAGGCTATCCCCGCTTCAGTCTATCCTGAATACTGCGGCCAGACTCATCCACCTTACTAACCGCTCCGTATCCGCCACCCCCCTCTGCCAATCCCTCCACTGGCTTCCGATTGCCCAATGGATCAAATTCAAAATGCTAACACTGACATACAAAGCTGTTCATAATTCTGCCCCAAACTATACATCACCGACCTAATATCCCAATACCACCCTAAATGTACCCTCCGCTCCTCACAAGACCTCCTACTCTCTTGTTTCCTGGTCTCCTCCTCCCATGCCCATCTCCAGGTCCTCCCCCATCCTCTGGAACTCCCTCCCCCAATCCATCAGACTATCACCTACCCTCCTCTCCTTTAGACACACCCTGAAGACCCATCTCTTCAGGGAAGCCTACCCTGCCCTCAGCTAATTGCCGATCTCCTCCACTCTTCCTACCACTCTATCCCCCACAGCTATCTCCTCCTGTACCACTATCCCCTCCCTCCTAGATTGTAAGCTCCAAGAAGCAAGGGCCCTCAAACCCCTCATGTATCAAATTGTATTGTTACTGTACTGTCTCATGTACTGTCTCCCATTATAATGTACAGCGCTGAGCAAACCGTTGACGCTATATAAATACTGTATAATAATAGTCCATGATTTAGTCATGAAGAACAGCAGGGCTGAGCCCCACCAGAGGTCAGAGAGTGTGAGGATGGGGGGGAGAAAAACCAAGATGAAGACTGGACTGATCCTGAAGACCACCATCATTGGGGTATTGACTCCTCCCTCATTATCACTTTCTGTTTAAGGGTCCAAAGTTGGAGGATGTTATCACATTATTATCACCATGTAAAAGTCTGTGCTCCAATCACATCATCCGATATAAAATGTCCAGCTTGTAGGAAACAGATGTAGAAAAAAAGAGAATCCATATTATTATTAATAGTAGTGGGTAGATGATAACGAGCAGAAGGATGATGTAATATACAGCACATTGTACAGGATACAAGAATTGGGACTATAGGATTATGTCATCCACAACGCAATAGTAAATTGCAGGGTCTGGACTACATGATATAAAGCAGGGGTACTGAATTAACATTCACAGGGGTCCGGTCAGGAAGAATTTTCTACTAGCGGAGGTCCGAGTGTCATGTTGGTGCTATGACTCAGAACTTTCATATCACAGTTCCTCCCCCCACCCCCATTCCCCCACTTTTACATCATCCACACACCAACCCATCACAGATCGCCCAATCACAGACCCCCATCATAGACCCCCCAATCGCAGACCCTTCCTCATCACAGACCATCCCTCCAATCACAGACACCCCATCAAAGACCCCCTACCCCAATCACAGACACTCTCCCCCCATCACAGACACCCTCCCTCCCCCCATCATCACAGACCATCCCTCCAATCACAGCATCCCCATCACAGACACACCCTCCCCCCATCATCACAGACCATCCCTCCAATCACAGACACCCCATCACAGACATCCCCCCCCCATCATAGACCATCCCTACAATCACAGACACCCCATCAAAGACCCCCTACCCCCATCACAGACCCCTCCCCCCCCCACAGACCCCTCCCCCCATCATCACAAACCTCCCCTCATCACAGACCATCCCTCCAATCACAACCCATCAAAGACCCCCTACCCCCATCATCACAAACCCTCCCTCCAATCAGAGACAACCCATCAAAGACACCCTCCCCATCACAGACCATCCCCCCATCATCACAGACCATCCCTCCAATCACAGACACCCCATCACAGACATCCTCCCCCATCATAGACCATCCCTACAATCACAGACACCCCATCAAAAACCCCCTACCCCCCCATCACAGACCCTCCCCCCATCATCACAAACCTCCTCTCATCACAGACCATCCCTCCAATCACAACCCATCAAAGACCCCCTACCCCCATCATCACAAACCCTCCCTTCAATCAGAGACAACCCATCAAAGACCCCCTACCCCAATTACAGACACCCTCCCCATCATCACAGACCATCCCCCCATCATCACAGACCATCCCTCCAATCACAGACACCCCATCACAGACATCCTCCCCCCATCATAGACCATCCCTCCAATCACAGACACCCCATCAAAGACCCCCTACCCCCATCACAGACCCTCCCCCCCATCACAGACCATCCCTCCAATCACAGACAACCCATCAAAGACCCCCTACCCCAATCATCACACCCCCCCCCCTCATCACAGACCATCCCTCCAATCACAGACAACACATCAAAGACCCCCTCCCCCCATCACAGACACCCTCCCCATCACAGACCATCCTACCAATCACAGACACCCCATCGCAGACCCCCTACCCCCATCACAGACACCCTACCCCATCATAGACCATCCCTCCAATCACAGACACCCCATCAAAGACCCCCTACCCCCATCACAGACCCTCACCCCAACATCACAAACCCCCCCTCATGACAGACCATCCCTCCAATCACAGACACCCCATCAAAGACCCCCTACCCCCATCACAGATCACCCCATAACAGTCCTCCCTGCATATTACAGATTCCTGTGCCTTTCATACCATTGCAGCACTCCCCCCCCCCCACTGTCCTACCTTATCCACACAAGACGGCAAGCTCAGCAGGTCTGGACATAGGGCGGGACTTTTCATGCTAAAGGCAGGTAAATGATTGCTTGGACCACCATGCTACCTATATACCAATCACCCGCAACCAATCACTCACTTCCTAATATGAAAAGTCCCGCTCCTGCCATGCTTGCCGTCTTGTATGAATTTGGTAGGACAGTGTAGGGAGGGGGGGAGTGCTGCGATGTTATGAAAGGGACAGACCTGCTGCACCTCAAATGTTGTGCCCTTACTTGAGGACAATAGCAGCAGGTGGGGGAGCTGACAGCGGGGAGAGGATATTCATGCAACTATTTGGTGAG